GGGCGAAGGCGAGGGCGAAGGCGAGGGTGAGGGCGGCGCCGCCGCTGGGTGCTGGCGGTACACCGACATGCTGGGGTGCTCGATGAGCAGGTCCTCCAGCGGGGAGGTCTCCATGTGGACGGGTCCCGCGGACGTGAAGCACGGCGGCGGCGTCACGTACCTGTGGACGCACGAAACAATACAGTTTCCAACGCCCTGGGAGTGGTTTCGTGGCAAGGGGCGCTGCGGGAGAGAAAGTTCGCGTCGTCCCTGCACCTGTAGGAATTCGAGGGGGAGGGGCAGGGGTGTCCAAAGAAAACCAGACGACTGAGATGGTAGGTCCATGGGGGGAAAGCGTCGTTTTTCAAACAAAAATTCTTCCAGCTACGTACACAATTTTTACACTTAACAAATATTTTACCCCCATTATTTTGAGTTGGAAGTAAATACATTTTTTAGTAAAAGCGGTTGTTTCAGAGTACGCATAGCGGGCTAAAAGTGCTATTAAAACGACGGCCGAGTGTTGAGATAAATCTATGAATGCAACAAAGAAAAAAATTATTTAGTCTGACTGTATCAACTACTACTAACATTGACGTGTAATGAAATGATTTGTACACTCAAATTAAAATGAATGTCAGTAAGACTTTCTAAAGAAAACTGTGCAAAATAAAATGTTACTTTTACCACTCGCATCATAAATAATTATTTTGTACGTTTCGAATGGAAAAATAATTCGGGTCCCCAATGAAATGCACTTCAATACAACTCGCTAAAGACAATATTTAAATATGTGTTTAGACACAGAAATAATGAACGAGTAAAATAATATTTTACGCAAGAGTGGTAGGAAAGCGTTCCTCTGCAACCGGTCTCGGCCAACTCACCAGGACTCGTCGACGCGCAGGCAGGGCAGCGACGCGCTGGACGAGGAGCGCGAGTGCGCGCTGAGGGGCGAGTCGGCGCCCGTCGCGCGCGCCCGCGGCCCCGCCCCCGCCCCCGCCCCCGCGTCGCTCTCGCCCTCGCTG